GTATGTTTTACGTGATAATGGGAATCTTGCCGCGTTCAGTGAAGTTTTGGTAACACTTCCAAGCGCTGTGAATCTTGCTACAGGACTTGAGATGCGACGACCTGCGGTGAATACTAGGTTAGGGTTAGGGTTTACGGTTTGGGTTAGGATTTTTTGGTTACGGTTTAAGGTTAGGCTGTACGGTTAGGCTTTACGTTTAGGGTTTTAAGGTTTAGGGTTAGGGTTTACGGTTAAGGTTATGGTTAGGATTTAGGGTTCGAATTTACGGTTAGGGTTTTACAGTTAGGGTTGATGGTTAGGGTTTACAGTTAGGGTTTACAGTTAGGGTTTTGGTTAGGGCTTACGGCTAGGATTTAGGATTAGGGTTTACGGTTAGGATTAACAGTTAGAGCTTACGGTTAGGGTTTTTCAGTTAGGGCTTATGGTTACGGTTTATGGTCAGGGTTTACGGTTAGGGTTTATGGTTAGGGTTTACATTTAGGGTTTTGGATAGGGCTTATGGCTTTAGGATTTAGGATTAAGGTTTACGGTTAGGGTTTACATTTAGGGTTTATGGTTAGGATAACGGTTAGGGTTTTGGTTATGGTTTTTGGTTAGGGTTTACAGTTTGGATTTAGGGTTAGGGTTTACGGTTATGGTTTAGGGTTAATGTTTATGGTTAGGGTTAACGGTTAGGGTTTAGGTTAAGGTTTATGGTTAGGGTTTAGGGTTAGGGTTAGTGAATACTTTCCAAAACTAGTCCATAGACATGGAGAATTTGTATATTTTGAAACAGAATTAGTTGAGTGGTCTTCGTATTCAATGTGACTGATGAACATGCTCGTCGCGATGAATACCCCAGGTGATTGTGAACTTTCTAAAGGTCACGGGGTGGAGTTGGTCAAACGCTGACTTAAACTGATCAAATAGAGCTCAATCTCCCATCCCCCAGTAGGACACCCCTCAATCAGGGCTGCCACTCACTTTTTTCAAATTTCCCAAGATTTGGTGAACAAATTTCCCAAGATTTCCCAAGATCATACAAATATATAAGAGTTTTTTTTTTAAAGGGGGGTTTTCTATGTAATTAATGTAATAATAGATTGAATCAATGCCCCTGAAAAACATGGTATATTAATGGACTGAAATTTATTGAAAAAGACATTTAAAACATGTTTATCACATTAAAAAAAAAAATTTGTTTTTAAAAAAATAATTTATAATCCAAAATATCAATACCCACTGGAGTTAGGCTACTAAATATTACCTCCAAATTCTCTGATAAAAATATAATCTACAATACATGTGTAATAGAAGTCACTTGGAAAAAAAAAGCATGCAAGGCTAATCAACACAGAATTCCTTTTACAAAGGCAAAAGTTTCTTCATCAAAAAAATGATTTTTTATTATTGTAAATCTGTTGATTACAAGTGGGGTTTGCAAAGCAATTAAGCAAAATTTATTAATAATAATTGTAGTTAAAATTGATTGATATTACGATGAAAACAATAAGTGTTTT